TTTCCCCCAATAAGTGATTTCACCTTGGGCAAGTCACCTAACATCGCACCTCAGCCTCCTCAACCATAAATTAGGTGATTGAGTCAGTTTATCTCTGAGATCCTGTCCAGCTCCAAAACTCTATGAAGCTCAAAGTAAATCAGGAGAGCTAGCATTGCATCTTGAGATTCTTCAGATCCAGATTGTTTCATTAGATCCAGGACTAAACTCCTACCAGCAAACATGAAAATAAATTTTTAATTTTTTTTATATATTTTCTAAAGTTTTTTTTTAATTTATTTTTAGAGAGAAGAGAAAGGAGGGAGAGAAACATTAATGCGTGAGAGAAACATTGATCAGTTGCCTCTCTCATGTCCCCAACCAGGGACCTGGCCTGCAACCCAGGCATGTGCCCTGACTGGGAATCAAACCAGCAACCTTTTAATTCACACACTGGCATTCAGTCCACGGAGCCACAACAGCCAGGGCTGAAAGTGCTTGTGGAAGAAGATGACTGGTACCACTTTGCATTGATATTCCAAAGTAAAGCAAACAAAAACTATTTCATGCTTTTCCAGACAGTAGAAAACCTTCAAATTCAGAAACAGCAGAACCCCTTCAAATTCGGGCTTCATCATTTACTACTGTGTTAAGTCTGGAAAATTAATGGTTTCCTCTTAGCCTCAGTGTAGTGCCTTTTTTATGGGGTTATTCAAGTTGAATATTGTGCAGAAAGCCCCTGGCACTATGGGAAACTCAATATTTAACACATCAAATCCCTTCCCATTCTCTCCTAGTGATGTGTCTTTTTATAGAGTTTGAGATCATCCCAATAAGGGATTAACAATTGCCTCTGACATGATTGTTGCAATTCTCTTCTAACAGCAGCTCCCATTTTCTTGAATAACTCCCATGTGTTAAGTGCATTAAACATGTTAGCTCACTTAATTCTTACAATAGCTATATAATCGTAACAGGCAGAAACCACCATTCTTCAGATAATAACACTGAAGCCTGTTGAGATCATGATGGCCCACAGCCACACCACCACTAATGAAGGACACTCAGGTAGAAGGGCTTCCGAGCCCACGTACATCATGGTTACGCTATGGTCCTTTATCCTCAGGCACCACCTACCTATTTATACATGTCACACACAATAGCAAAGACATGTGAATGAAGAGCCCGCACCCTTTAAAACAATTCTCACATAACTACAAGTTCAGACTGAGCTCTGCTAGCAAAGCTGCCTGTGAAAACCTGCCCTGGGAGATCTGCCCATACGCTATACTCATTAATCTACTTTCAGAAAAACCATGGGACTGATTTTGAGCTAGGAATTATGAAACATATGATCAGGAGCTTTGTTTCCACCAGAACTGAAGGAATTTTTTTGAAGTTTTCCGCTAATATCTCAATTTAAGAACTATTGATTTCCCACCTTTACTCGGTCTAAATGGAAAATAACATACCCCCTAGTCAATGTGGAAAAGACAGAAAACAATAAAGAACAAAGAAGAATTTTTAATTCTTAAAAAATAGAAGGTAGCCCTGGCAGGTGTGGCTCAGTGGACTCAGTGCTGGCCTGTGAACCAAAGGGTTGCAGGTTCAATTCTTATTCAGGGCACATGCCTTGGTTATGGGCCTGGTCCCCAGTAGGGGTCGCACGAGAGGCAACCACACATTGATGTTTCTCTCTGTCCCTTCTCCTCTCTAAAAATAAATAAATAAGTCTTTTTAAAAAAAGCTAAACCAATAAAAAATATATAAGGTAAACACCCCATTAACTCCCCAAGATTTTAGCACAAAAAGAAAAAGCAAGTTATTAAAGGATATAGACACACTCAGAGAGTACATCTCACCCTGATGGAAGTAGTCTTGGCACTATAAATAAATGGTGTCTCCAGGCCAGCTGGCACTCACCAGGAGACATCCTAATCTTTAATACAATGGAATATAAGATTAACCTAGTTCTGTTCACCAAAGAGATGATGGTGAGATCAAAAATGATGGCAATGACGATGGTGGTGGTGGTAATGACCAGTACACTTGAATGTCCAAACCTCACCACTAAAAAGACATTAATATATCTTTAGACAACTGCATAGAGTTTAGTAGAAACACTTGTTCTAATGGGCTATTTTTCAAAAAAAAAAAAATCAATGATCCTTAATTAATGTAGAATACATTAAAAATGAATAAATGAACTACAATGTAATCAGTGCTACTGGCCTCAAGGATATAAATGCCAACAGAATGTTCCCCATGTCTTCAAACAAATGAACTCTTCCTTGGAGATAAGCCATACTTTTTTTTGCATTCGTTAAGGTATATTCTACAATTCAAATCCTTTAGCTATTACTATTTCTGACAAAAATTAAGCTAGAAATGCATTCAGGTTATGGTGAACATAGCCCTGCCCCAGGAATTTCTAAGAAGACTAGGACTGCTAGAAACAGCCACTCAGAAACAGTCCCCATCCTTAATCAGCTGTGCTAGAAGATGAAGCTTTACTAAAATCAACCTTTCCTTGGAGGGCTCCATAAGAAAATGATGAAATAATCAGACCTAAAATGTATTTACTTGTTTGTGTTTATGTAGCTAAAAATAAAAATGAACTCCGGCGGGGAAGTTCAGTTGGTTAGAGCATCGTTCCCATATGCCAAGGTTCTGGGTTCCATCCTTGGTCAGAACACAAACAAGAATCAACCAATGAATGCCTAAATAAATGGAACAACCAATCTCTCTCTCTCTCTCAATCTCTCTCTCTCTCTCTCTCTTTCTCTCTCTCTCTCATCAATAAGTAAAAAATTTAAAAGAATAAACATGAATACTAGGAAGATGCAGGCCCCATTGATTTAGAAATCCTCTTTTATCTACACAGAGTTACAACTGGAGAAGTCAGATAAAGCAAAGGATGTGAAAACAAGGAGGGAGAAATGTCTTAATCCTTAAGTCTTCACATTCCAGGAAGCATCTGCTTTGAGAACAATGACTCACAGCCTCTGGTAACAGAATAACATTCTCCTTTCAAAACGGAATAATGCTCCCAGCAATGGTATTTTCAATGAAACTGTGTATCAACAGTGTCAAAAACAGCCCCTGAAAGAAACACATTTTCATTCTTTCTTTTTCAAAGATGCATTCTGCTTCAGGTTTGTGTTGTCTGAACCAGCCTCGAGCTCTTTAGCCTTCCAGGAAGCATGCAACGGACTCTCCTCCCAAAAGAAAAATCTAAGAATAAAGGTAAAAACCATGCCACAATAACACGCACCCCCAATGTTGCTACTATGTGCCGAAAAAAGGAAAAAAGACAGATAAAGGAAATTGCAGAAAGGACAGTGTAGTGAAAATTCTAGAATAAGAGCATGCAGATGTCCAAGCAAAGCCCCAATACTTGCCAAAATCATCCAAATCTGCCTTACAGTAGAACTGCCACATTGTATAGCCAAAATAACAATTCTTAATAAATAATGAATGTGTAACTACCTTAACTATTGTCTGCTATGATCCAGTATTTCAATATTTTCTTTAGCCATTACCATAAGACCAGGATTCATTCATTTTTAGAAATAATGGTTCAATAATGAAAGTAGATGTCTGCTTCCATGTACAAAGGTAATGATGCTTCCTATATCTTCTTCTTCAGGATTATTACATGATACATTATCTATCATATTAACAGCTGTTGTTTATTGGGTGTCTAATAGGTGCTAGATACTGATTTTAACTTGGTGACTGATCTGAGAATTAAATTTCATTATCCCCACGTTACAGATGAGAAAAACTGAGGCTCAGAGCAGTTAAGCAATCTTCCCAAGATCACACAACTAGTGCTAAGACTCAATCTCACATCTAAAGCAACAATTGACATTTTCTCTTCCAGAGACACGAGGTTTACCTGTTTCCTGACAAAATACCCTGGCCCGTGCATGCATTCCGTCTTCCTGACTCCTGTCCCAAACTTATCCGCCCAGTTAATCAACTTCCAGTGAGGAAAGAACAATAAATATCAGCCAACTTTTATTTTATCTCATTTCATTACTGTGTTAATTACTCTGTGCTAGTAGAGTATAAATATTATACTACAATGAACTGTTGTGGAATCCCATAATCCCATCCATACAAAATTATGTGCCCTACATCATTTTTTTTAACATAACTCTTAACATTATAGGAATTTGTGCCTCAATTTCCAGCTTCTGACTAAACAGCTAAACATTCTTCTGTTAATCGTGTTTATAGGTGGGTGACAGGATTATGAGTGATTTTCGTTTATTCCTTTGCTTCCAGTGTATATCAGGTTGTAAGCTCTGAGCATATATTACTCTTTCAATTAGAAAAAATATATAATAAATGTGATTTTGATGAAAAAAAGTTCATCTCCCTCCCAACCAAATAAAATTATTTTCCCCTTAGTATTGGAAAAGAAGACATTCCCTGACCCAGTTTAATCCTGGGCCAGGTTATAACACAAACTTGAAACAAGAGATGTAGGTTATTGTATAAATGGCTCCCACTTCTACATTAACTTTTTTGTTACTTTGAAAATTAAGAAATATTTCATAAAACTGGATTTTAACTATTGTGTTGCTCTTCTTTTTTTCCCCATAGGTCTTTTTAGTAAAGTACTCTACACCCAAAAATAGAGTTTTATGTCACACTGTTAACTACACCCATTTCCATTTCAGGACACACATTTGCCTACATTTCCCAGACTCCTTTGCAGCTAAATGAGCCACCTCTAGGTCTAGCCCACAGAAACCTCCCATTTGAGAAATTCCATGATCTTCCCCTGCATGATGATGGACCCACGAAATGGAAGAACCTGAGTCTCTGCACCGCCACTTGGAAGAAGATCCAGGAACACCATTTGGGACTTTACAGGAGTAAGAATTAAAAGGATATTACGTAAGCCATTCCAAATTCGGGGTTTCTCTGTTACCCGACCTAACACATGACTTTATTACATATCCCAATTATTAGAGTAGAAGGGTAAAACTTTATGCTCTTTATCTTACCTTTTTCAAAGACTCCTTCTGCTTCCAGGACAGAGGTGGTGAGGTTTGCGGCCACCTTGACCAGCTCTGCCTTCACGGTGACCTGTGAGGGGCTGTGTTCCAGGAGCTGCACCCCAATAGTCACATTTCCTCCAGGCCTGATGATCCCTGGGGCTGTCACCAGAAACCTGGGCCTGAGAGTTCCCAACAAAAGGGAAAATCACATTTTTTATCCTCACATCTCCATTCTTTTGTGATCCTCAAATTTCATAGACAGTGAGGTAAGACTCCCTATACTGTGCCAATTGCAACTGTTCCATTTAATACTGTCCTGCTCTATTTCATAGCAAGTGCACTGAAATGCCGTTGAAACAATAATTCCCATAAATCAGTTTTAATACAGAAATTCATGTACCACTAGAGTAGGGTCTGTGTTATTACTTCCATTTTATAAACCGCAAACAGCACAGTGATGAGCCTCATTGTAAATGGCTTACATGGAGCATGCAGAAGTTACTGGCAATGTGCAAGCCTCTAGAGCTCTCTTTTACAGAGGACCTCATCCCAGAATGAATTTTTTTCTTGACTTTAGCGCAAGCGCGTGCTCGCTCTCTCTCTCTCTCTCTCTCACTCACACACACACACACACACACACACACACACACACACACTTTCCCAGTTTCTTACTCAAACCTTTGTTTGGGCATTTGCCTAAGAAAAGATCTAACCAATACCCACTGATTGCAATATACCATCAGACATTCAACTATCAGTGGCTAAATTTCCAGGTGTAGCAGAGCATAAAAGTCGCTAAAATAACAACTTCTCCGCCCAAGCTAGGGGTTAGGGCTCAATTGCAAAAAACCTTTAGGAGTGGGGCACTTTCCATTATTTGGATGCCTCGGTAGTAAACCTTTCTACAACGTCTGCACCTGAACCACACTTGAGTCACCTAAGCTACATTTTGCCAATGCCGAAGTTGAAACACCTTGTTTAGAAAAACTAGTATCATATGTCTTTGAGAGAAGAAAACAGGCACATTGCTTGGGAGCAGTTTAGAAAAATGCAGAGGCACCGTGAACTAAAAATAAAATGTCTCTCTTTAGAACGTAGTTATGGCTAGAGAGACAAACAGCTTCATGGGTGAAGAAAATACCGGTAACTGCCTCATGGAGAACCAGGGCGACGCGACACATGATCCAACCTCCGGGCCAGTGGCGGGGTGGAGGCATCCGCAGCGGGGCCGGTTCCCACCCGCTGCTGCACAGCTGCAGGCGCCACCCGCAGCCCGGGCCCAGGCAGGCAGAACGGCCGGCCCGCCCGCCCTCCCGCCCTGCGCGCCCCGCGCGCCCCGCGCTCCTACCCGGGGGCTGCGGCAAGCACGGCGGTCCACACGCAGACCAGGTGGGCGGCGGTCAGGAGCCGTGGACCCCGCATCTCGGCAGCGTCTGCCTGGGCGACCGTCGGTTCCTGGGGAAATTCGCGGGCACTGCGGGGTGTGTCTTTCCACTTCTTCCCTGATTTTTTCCCCCGGACTCTGGAGTTCAGCAGTCTGAAAAGGGCGCGCCTAAAAGCAGAGTGAGAGATCTAAATTGAGACAGGACTCGGTGGCTCCACCCCTCCCACCCGTACCAAATGGCGTTTCTCGCTGCTCTGGCAAACATCGCAAATCCAGGGGGGGTCAGAAAGTCGTCTCTAACTGCGGTCAGACCAACCTGGTCCCCCCATCTCCGCTCCCCGCGCAGCACACAGGGCACCCACTTCCCAGCCCACGGGTTTCTCCGACTGTTTACAGTAGCGCTCCACTAACGATGCCGAGAGTGAGTAAACAGGCTCATCCTTGTGAGGAGAAATTCATAGCAGCTATGTGAAGTGGAAAAAAATTCATCATTGTCCTCCAGACTGTGAGTCAGAATTTTAGAGAAAGGGCGCGGGCGCGCGCGCACACACAAACACACACACACTCGCGCGCGCGCAGGCCAAACGAGTGTATTTACTAGGTAGATGTTTAATGTATGAATGTGCACGAGAGAAAACTTTTCATTTATTACCTTAAAACAAAAATTGAGGTCTACTTTTTACCTCACCAGGAAAATGTTGTTTCTCAGCCTAAAAAATAATTCTGGCACATTTAAGAGTTAAGTGTTGCTACTTGGAACTCTGAGAAACAATTGGGGAGATGCTTTATACTTTCGGCTGTGTCTAAGCACACTTGCAACGGACAAGTATTCATTAGAACTGTAAAGTGTGGAGTAATTTGTATAAACACAGCTAGGGCTCGGGTAGCTCTCCTACGAGAAGAAGGTCAGTGGCCCTGGGGCCCAAGGTTACTGATCTCCAGCTCCTCGCTGCCCTGGCTCTCAGAAGCTACTTCTCCAGCCAGTTTTTTGGCACTGACACCATCTTCAGATGACTCAGGTTTCGCCATGACTACACCATAAAGGCAAGCAACTGCCAGAAACTGTAGAAAAACAGGCGCATTCAGTCCCTGACAACTTAAAGTTCCTAATTCATGGAGAAAAGTTTTAGATGGTGACTTTTTAATGAGGGCAAAATGTAAAAGGTAAAGAGGTCTGCGAAGGAATGTCTCATGACAAAGTTATGTGCTAAAAAGGGGGAAAGTAGCACCTAGACAAACTGTGGTTTTTGAAATCCAGGAACTTACTTTCCTCCCTTTCCTGTTCCACCCTTTTTCACTGAGCTGAACAACTTCTGGAGGTCTCCCACATCCTTCTGTCTCCTACAGGCAGCCTGTCTTTAGTGGCGGACTTCCTGCCCAGGCAGGGCTTGGGTATGGGGTAAAGTATATAAGTGGATCCAAAGGTACAGATCCTGTCTCTGACACAACTGTTACTGCTAGTCTGGTCTCCTCATCTCTGTTGTTCAGAACAGAGGACTAGGCTCAAGTGTGAGCCAAGTATCAAATCTTAATTGGTGCTTCCCAAACTCTACGGTGTATGACAATTACATTAAAATGCAGATACTGATTCAGCAGGTTTGAGATGGGGATTGAGATTCTGCTCTACTTCAGCTTCCAGTGGACCACAGAGTATCTGCAGGTAGCAGCAATTTGCGGGCACTTTGGTAAGAAAAGGAAGTTGGGGAAAATTCTTTTCAAGCTTCACTTTATAAGATGGATCAATAAATTCAGGTTCATTCTAGAGGCAAGCAAATGGGAGAGGGACTCCAGAAGACTGATTGGTAATGTTGCATTCCCAGAAGACTTCTAGAAACACTTGGAACCACCTGGTTGTTTTATAAAATTAAATCCGTGCAGATTTTATTTTTTTGTGTGCAGGTTTTAAATTGATGCAACCTCCCTGTTTATGCCTTCCTTTTCACAAAACACACTTATTGAAAAGTTTAACATGAAAAATTTAGCAATGTGAATTTGCACAGAGATGAAGCTATTACATGTCTGGCACAGAGTAGCTACTCAATAAAAATTTGTTAAAAGGATTAATGAACTCAGACAAGAAAAAGTTAAAGAAGTTTATCAGAAGCAACCAGTATGACAAGAAATGTTAGAGAGACTTGAAAAAGGCAAAGGAAGAGGAGATGAAGAAACCAAAATATGAATAATAAAGTGACAATAACTACATACCTATCAATAATTACTTTAAATGTAAATGGATTAAATGCTCCAGTTGGTTAGAGCATCATCCTGAAACACCAAGGTTGTGGGTTCAATTCCCAGTCAGGACACATACAATAAGCAACCAAGGAATGCATAAATATGTGGAACAATATCTCTCTCTCTCACTTTCTCCCTTCCTCTCTCTCTAAAAAAAAAAATCAATAAAATTTTTTTTAATGTTTAAAAAAAGACATAGGGTGGCTGACTGGATAAGAAAACAAAATCCATATATGTGGTACCTACAAGAGACTCACCTCAGATCAAAAGACACACACAGACTGAAAGTAAAGGAACGGAGAAAGAGATTTCATGCAAATGGGGGTGGGAAAAAAAGCTGGGGTAGAAATACGTCAGACAAAATAGACTTGAAAACAAAGGATATATAACAAGACAAAAAAAGACCCAGCAATTCCACTTCTGAGTATTTTTCCAAAGAAACCCAAAACACTAATTCAAAAGACATATGCATCCATATGTTTACTGCAGCATTATTTACAATAACCAAAGTATGGGAGCAACGTAAGTGTTCATCAACAGGGAAATAGATAAAGAAGATGTGGTACATATATACAATTAAATATTACTCAGCCATAAAAAGAGTGAAATCTAGCCCTGACAGGTGTGGCTCAGTTGGTTGAGTGTGGTCCCTTGAAGCAAACGGTCAGCAGTCTGACACCCCATCAGAGCACATGCCTGCATTGCAGGTTTCGTCCCTGGTTGGGGCGCATTGGAGAGGCAACTGACTGATGTTTCTCTCCCTCTCTTTCTCTCTCCCTTATCCTCTCTCTAAAAATAAATAAATAAAATCTTTTTTTTAATTAAATCTTGCCATTTGCAACAAAATGGATGGACCTAAAGGGTATCATGTTAAGTGAACTAAGTCAGGCAGAGAAAGACAAGTACCATACAGTCTCACTTGTATGTGGAATCTAAAAAACAGAATAAGTGAACAAACAAAACAGAAACAAACTCAGAATCAGAGAGCAACTGATGGTTGCCATATAGGAGGAGGATGGGGGGAGGATGGGTGAAAAGAGGGTAGGGACTAAGAAGTACACATTGGTAGTCACAGAATAGTCACAGGGGCATAAAGTACAGCATAGGGAAAGTTGTAAGATTGTAATAACTATGTGTGGTGTCAAATGGGTACTAGACCAATGGGGGTAATCACTTCATAAATTATATGACTGTCTAGTGACTATGTTGTACATATGAAACTAATATAATATTGTATGTCAACTATAATTAAAAAATAAAAAATTATTTTAAAAAGTAAAAAAATTAAAGGATTAATGAAAAATATCTGTGTTTCTTTTTAGTTAATTAAGAAAAACTGAAAATCTGAGAGTAAATAATAAGAGATTGGGTTAAATAATTATGGTATACTTATGCAACAGAATGCTATAGAGTAATTAAAAATTATGCACTTGAATTGGAGACTATTTAATTATTTAGAGATAAATATTTATGATACGCTGTTGGGGGAAGTCTGTTTTATATAACAATTTAAATGTGATTCCATTTTTATAAAACTAAAGTATGTTTATGTGTACATACATATTATAGATATATAATTGAGAAAGATTTGAAGGCTAGTCACCAGAATGTTATCAGTATCCTGGTGGTTCCCAAATCTGCCAAGTTTTATATAATAATTATACATATATTATTTTTCCTTTAAGAAAGAAACAACAAAAATGATATTGTTTTGGTAAGTAGTCTTTAAAGGAGCATCTTGGAATAAAATTCATGAATTTTGATACCAAAAAAATTATGTATCTTCCTCCCATGAAAACTGAATTGCCTTTCTCATAGGAGCTCCACTCTGTTCCCATGTCCCTCCTGACCTGTCTTTAGGGCATGGTTCAGTGAAAAAAGTAGAATCACTCTGAGAACTATTCTATGCAATTATGGGAGCTGTGGAGCAGCCATTGCCCTTGCATCTAGTGTTGAGCCTAAAGTCACCCTAAGTCAGCCAGGGAAGAAGAATTTAATGTGAAAAAGGGCAAAGAAACATGAGGGAAAATTGGAACCCATGTCCCTACTACCACATCCAGCTTTGATGTCATGGGGAACCTGCAGAAGAAACTGATATCTTGCACCCAGAGCTGCATATGCACTGTACCCAGAACTGTAAATGGACAAGGAGGAGATCCTCTGAGCCCTGGAGAAGCCACGGGCCCCACTGCCACCCCACACCCACCGAGTCTGCTAGCAGATCAGTACCAACCTGGGCAAGCAGCCTACCTGCCTCACGCAGCGCATTAACCTCCAGAAAGCAATAAATGCAGCTCTGCTATACTGCTTGCTTCCAAATTCACATAACATATCTCTTGCAGACAACACCAATTCAGAACCATATAGAGTGAGGAATTCTGAGAAATTTAGCTCCATCTTAGGTAAGTTGACATACTACAAAGCAACCCAAAGTCTATGCCTCATCAATTTGGCATCTGTATATACTCCTTTAAGCCACACTTGACTTCAGAAAAAGACAATAGGAAAATCATGCTTTCACTTAGCATGATGCAACTATCCCTCATACAATCAAAAACAACTTAACCCAATCTCCAAGAAGACACAAATTCCCTTTAATCATCTTTGGATGTTGTCCATATCTCTTCTAGCTGAATCATACTCTTTGATATCTGTAACTTCTATACTGAAGTAAAAGTTTAACTACTATTAACATATGTTAGAGGGTAGAGGAATGAAAGGGAGAAGGAAAAATGTCGCTTAATATATACACAAATGCATTTATATCAAAACAATAAGTAGAGCAAATAACTCTGAACAGTCCTTATTTCTGCTACTGGCAGCGTGGTAGTAGACTATATTCTCCATGACCTTCTTCCACCCCCCATTTCTCCACCTCAGTAAACATCTAAGCTGGTCAAACTTCTTCACATAGTAGGGTGGCCAAAATCTTTATTCCTGAGGGGTTCAAGCCATTAGCAGGCCTGATATTATATTATTGTTTTCTATTGATTTTAATCACAGGACTGGGGAAGAGTAAGAGATGTCCCAGTATATCTTCTGCCTTCCAGGAATATTCCTCACTTCCTTTTTTCAGTGGCAACTTCTTGACACTCAGGATCATTCAATCATTCCAGCCAATAGAGTAACCCCTTGGCTGTTGATTCACTGGCATG